TTTTTTTTTTAAATGATGCCTACGTCTTTATTCTTGCTTTTATTTTGTAAATTATTCGTAAAGGTTTTTTAAATATATATTTTCCCTTTTATTAATTAAGTAAGCAGTATATGTTTTTTCTGTCTGGGAATTTAAATTAAAAAGTATTCATCATAGAATCTTCCTCTAATTTTTTCAGAGGAATAACCTAACAGGAGAGACAAGTGCTATAGAAAACCTCCCTCTTTACCTCATTATAGCCATCAACATAAAATAGTTTGGTGATTTTTTTTTAAACAAAAGAAGTCACCCTTGCTCAGATTTTTTTAGTGTGCAAGTCTTGTTACATTTTTATGAACCCTTTTTTTTTTTTACCAAATAATGGATAATTTCTGTATCTCATATTCTTTGCAGTGTTTTCTGCAAATTTAGGTTATTTTAACGGCAAAACTTTTTAAAAGCAAAATTGTACAAAAATTAAATAAAATGAAATTTGAGAAGATAACGAACAGTGGTTGATCCAAAACACAAAAACTTGAAACTAATATGCATATCTGTGAACAGGGCATAAAACATGGATCACTGGAAATTACAGAGGTTGGCTCAGATGCTTAAAAGAGAAAACAATCTATGTCGACCGGTCACAAAAGTAATGAGCTAATTATATTGCTATGGTTAACAGGTTATTCCATGGTCAAATTCAGTATAAAAGACAAAGGCCTAACAATTGTGTGAAATATTTCAGTCATGATAAACACAGAGATTACTCATTATGTGGTATATTATTTAAGGTTTTATAATCTATCTTTCTTCTTCCTTTCTCTTATTATTTTTTAAAGCTAAAAGAAGCAATTTCTTATTTTCTTCTGACTATCTTTTTTTTAAGTAAAGAACTTTTCTAAAATAAATTCTTATCTAAGTTAATGGTTCCTTTTCTTTCAAGAACCTTTTGTTAAATATTTAAATATTCTATCTATTTTCTTTCTTTCTCTTATTTTTTCCATTTTTAATGATGCCTACATATTTTCTTTTTAATGATGCCTACATATTTTCTTTCTTTAAAAAAAAAATTATTAGCAAATACTTTATATACTTTCTTTTTTTAATTAAGTTAGTAATATATGTTTTTACTGTCAGGAAATTCAAGTAAAGAGTATTGATCACAAAATCTTCCTTTATTTTTTCAGAGGAATAGCACAACAGGAGAATTGATAGCTATTTATAAATCCTCCCTCAATACTTATAGCTATGAACATGAAATACATGTATACTATTTTAGAAGCAAAAGAAGTCATGCCTGCTTAATTTTTTAGCGAGCATGCTTTGTCTTATTGTTTATATAATATTTTTTTAATCATATTATGGGTAATTTCTGTTTCATATTTGCAGCGTTTTCTGCAATTTTATGTGATTTGAACGACAATACTATGTCTTTTTAAAAACAAAATTCTATAAAAATTGAAATGAAAATTGAGAAGATAACGAGCAGTGGTTGATCCAAAACAAAAAAAACCCGCTATAAACTATATAAAAATATGTGAACAGGGCATAAAACATGGAATACTGAAAATTACAGAGGTGGGATCAGATGCTTAAAGGAGAAAACATTCCATTTATACTTGTCATTTATAGTCAAAAGTTCCATTTGTTTACTGAACGGAATATTCCGTGGTCAAATTCAGTATAAAAACAAAGTTCTAACAATTGTGTGAAATATTTCAGTCATAATAAACACAGAAATTGCCCATTATATAGTATTTTATTTAAGGTTTTATAATCTATCTTTCTTCTTCCTTTCTCTTATCATTTTGCTTTCTAAAGCTAAAAGAAGCAATTTCTTATTTTCTTCTGATTATCTTTTTTTTAAAGTAAAGAACTTTTTAAAAAGAAATTCTTATATAAGTTATAATGGTTCCTTTTCTTTTAAGTACCTTTTGTTAAATATTCTATCTATTTTCTTTCTTTCTCTTATTTTCCTTTTTTTTGATGATGCTTACATTTTTTCTTCTTTCTTTCTTTCTTTCTGTTTTATTAAAATATATTATTAGTAAATGTTTTATATACTTTCTCTTTTTTTACTTAAGTTAGCGATTGTATCTGCTTCTACTGTCAGGGAATTTAAGTAAGAAGTATTGATCATAAAATCTTCCTCTAATTTTTTTCCAGAGAAATAGCATAACAGGAGAAGTAAGGACTATTGAAAAATCCTCCCTCAATACTTATTATAGCTATGTACATGAAATATGATATTTTATAGAAGCAAAAGAAGTCACGCCTGCTCATTTTGTTAGCGAGCATGCTTTAATTTTTATGAAAGTATTTTTTTTACCATATTATGGGTAATTTCTGTGTTTCATATTTGCAGTATTTTCTGCAATTTTGTGTTATTTCAATGGCAATGCTATTGTTTTTTTAAAGCAATTCTACAAAAATGATTATTGCAAAGATAACGAACAGTGGTTGATCCAAAACAAAAAAAATCGCTATAAACTATATGAAAATATGTGAACAGGGCATAAACAAGGATCACTGGAAATTACAGAGGTTAGATCAGGTGCCTAAAGGAGTAAACATTCCATGTAGACTGGTCACACCAGTCATGAGCTCCATATATTGATAAAATAGACGGAATATTCCGTGGCCAAATTCAGTATAAAATCAAAGTTCTGACAATTGTGTGAAATATTTCAGTCATAATAAACACCGAAATTACCCATTATGTGGTGTTTTATTTAAGGTTTTATAATCTATCTTTCTTCTTCCTTTCTCTTATTATTTTGTTTTCTAAAGCTAAAAGCAATTTCTAATTTTCTTCTGACTATCTTTTTTAAGGAAAGAACTTTTTAAAAAGAAATTCTTATATAAGTTAATGGTTCCTTTTCTTTTAAGTACCGTTTGTTAAATATTCTATCTATTTTCTTTCTTTCTCTTATTTTTCTTTTTTGATGATGCTTACATTTTTTTTTTTTCTTTCTGTTTTATTAAAATATATTATTAGTAAATGTTTTATATGCTTTCTCTTTCTTTTTTACTTAAGTTAGCAATATCTGTTTTTTTTTTACTGTCAGGGAATTTAAGTAAAAAGTATTGATCACAAAATCTTCCTCTAATTTTTTCCAGAGGAATAGCATAAAGGAGAAGTAAGGACTGTTGAAAAATCCTCCCTCAATACTTATTATAGCTATGGACATGAAATATGATATTTTATAGAAGCAAAAGAAGTCACGCCTGCTCAATTTTTTAGCAAGCATGCTTTGATTTTTATAAATATTTTTTTTTTACCATATTATGGGTAATTTCTGTGTTTCATATTTGCAGTATTTTCTGCAATTTTGTGTTATTCAACGGCAATACTATTGTTTATTAAAGCAATTCTACAAAAATGAAAATTGCAAAGATAACGAACAGTGGTTGATGTTTTATATACTTTCTCTTTTTTTACCTACATGTAAGTTAGCAATATCTGTTTTTACTGTCAGGGAATTTAAGTAAAAAGTATTGGTCATAAAATCTTCCTCTTATTTTTTCAGAGGAATAGCATAACAGGAGAATTAAGGGCTATTAAAAAATCCTCCCTCAATACTTATTATAGCTATGCATATGAAATATGATATGTTATAAGCAAATGAGAGGGACGTTAAACAACATACAATCAATCAATCAATCAATTAATCTTCTTACTTCATTATTTTCTTGCCATTGTTCATTTTCTTTCATGATTCTTTTATTGAATATTCCTTTCTTTTTTTCTGCCTTTCTCTTATTTTCCTTTTTTTTTTTTTAAATGATGTTCTTTTCACTTTTTTTCTTTTTTAAAATAATTAGATCTTTTTTTTAAAATTATCTTATTTTATTTAAATTAGCAAAAATTTTTTTTACTGGCAAAGATGGATAGTGAAAATGACTGTTCAGTAATCTCTCTCTCTCTCTCTCTCTCATTTTTTTAGAGGAATAACATAAAGTGGAGATCTCAAGGTCAATTAAAACCTCCCTGTTTGCGTCATTGCAGCTATGAACATGACTACTTTTTATCATGTTATGATTTTTTAACATACATCTTTTTTATTTTAAGCTAATTGTTATTTTTCTTTCAAGGATATTTTGTTCAATTACTTTTTTTCACTTATTTATTTTTTTAATTAATCATTTTATTACATGTAGGATCTCTTTTTATGCTTCCCGTATTAAAGTTATAGTTATAACTTATTTATTGCATGGGTGTTATATTGATCAGTTAGCTTCCTTTTTGTCAGAGGAAAAACATATAAATTCAGAATCTATAACTTAATTTAATGTTGATGTGTTATTTGTGAATGAAATGTCTATTAAAATAATAATAGATTGTAAAATATTTAGTGTTGCTGTGATAAATCTTCGGTGCGTTTTGAAACGTTTTTGGTGACATATGAAGGATAATTATAATCAGTTAATTTTAATTCAAAATTGACCTATGAAATTGCACGGCATCCGAACTGACTTGCAATATAAGGAATCGTCCACTAATCAAAGATTGGGTTGCTTAATAGGAAGTTCCAGCTTTTCTTGAAAGATGATATTCATCACTGTAATAAATGTACTTTGGTTTAAATACGAGCGTATAAAGAGGGCAGACTACAATTACAATATACTTTTTATGTCCCCGCCATTAAATGGTCAAATCATACAGTGTTACCCTGTATCATTCCGTTATCTGACTTTCTGTCCATGATGTCGGCAACAGTTGTACACACTGACATAGGAATACGCAGGTTTAGTTTGAATTTGGTCATTGTCCGATGATTTTTTAATGTGTTTGCATGTGTCAGGTATGTGAGTGGGGTAATACCCTTTTTTCCTCATAGAATATGAGAAACGTGTGCACATGCTAAAGGTACATTTTTAAAATTTAGTAAGATCATTAGAATTTCCTAATAATCAAAATCACCTTTTCTGACTTGAATATCACATGTCCTTTTCCAACGTGTGTATGCTATTGGATCAAACAGACACATTATTTGATGCATATATTAATTTAAATAAATCCTTATATTTAACCCTCTCTGTATATACACGTATCTATGCCCTTTGTGTCATTTGCACAACATGAAGGAAATTATATTTTAAAAAATGAACTAGCATTTAACCTAGACTTTGAATATCAGCCCACTTCTTATGTGAGAGATGTTTTTAGAAAATTTTGATTATTTGGGTCTCAACTTACAATATCGAAATAAACGAGTATATCAGAAAATATCACATGGGCATAAACGGTGAATAACGACAAAGAAATTTGAACCAGAGAGTCCGTGCAGATTGGTAATGGTAATCAATATCAAAGAAGAAAAAAAACAACACATGGAAAAAGATACTAAATCAGATCTTATTACAAAAATATATAAAACAAAACAAAATTTAAATAAAAAAAAAATAGAAATATACTATCAGACTAAATAAAGCAATTGATTGCACGCTATAAAATACGAGAAAATAGAACAATATAGTTCTAATCACTAGAATGAATGAAAATTAATATAGATCTAGACATTCATTAATTACATGAAATAATTCGAATAGACAATATACAGTATACTTATCATAGAACGATTGAAGATTGAAAAATCTAGTTAAACATGAAAGGTCCATGTCAGTTTTAGACAGGATAAAAATTATCGGTTACTTGTAAATACTCGTACAATCTTCTACAATATATACAAAATCTTTTCATTAAGATTCACGTAATCTAAATGTTAATCAACGTAATCTTATATTAAATGTATACATTAAGATAAGACATATAAAAAAGTCATCCTCTGCATTATATTCTGCTTCAAAAGAAAATAAAGTAATAGGATGGGTGTTTTGAGGATGATTGTTTTGAAAACCCATCTCACATAGATATAAACTGGATGTTGGACAGTATATTGTATAACAAATCATTTCGGACCTAGTTGGTTTTGTCTTCATTTCCTTGTGAAAATTATCGCAACACTTTCCATTAGAGAATAAATGAATATGAAAACAAATACAAAATGTATCTAAACAGTATTCTACAAACACTGTAATAATTAATTGACTTTATAATGATTTTTATAGACTTCCTGTCTATTATAAACAAATAAAATATTTATACTTTATGTTCAAACTACAATTTCTAGATACATGTATATAGGAACAGAAACCATCGAGCTAGGACATCTCTATCTCTACATTGAATAAGAAAATGATTTTACATGAATGTGCTTTGGGAGACGCTCATGATGTGATTCTATCCTTTTTCTAAAATGTGAACCGATTAGCATAACGTCTAGAGCACAGCAAATATGTGTCTTTTTTGCACTTTGGAGACTCATCCGCACATGAGAATAATTGTTGTGATTAGACTAGTAACACTTGTAGTTACACTCGCAGTCATCAAGGGAGCTATGTCAGTTATTGTAGGACCTGAAATGGATAAAATGATTGATTGATATTTTTATGGAAACATGGTTGAGATACAGGTATAATAAAATCATATCACATAATTTCCCGTATATTTACTTATAAAAGGAAGAAGAACTAAAATATTATACAGAATAAAATATATGACAATAAATAAAAAAGCAAAATAAAAATTCAATAAAATTTAAAAATTAATGATAAAAGTGCTTTTGGATCAAAGTCAGTTCCCTACCAAAATGCGTCTCCTTAAACTTTTGCCTGTCGATATTCGTGACGCTGTGCTTGACCGTGACATGTATTATAGTTTCTCTTTTACTTATTTCTGAGGAATCAACCACTGATACAAATGATGAAATCTGCAAGGAAAAATTGCCAACATATCCCGCCGGGGGCATATATAGAACATCACCAAAGTCTGTTGGACCTAAATGAAGTGTATCCCCCTTGATGGTGCCCACTGAGAAAAGGGATTGGTCGGGGAAACCTTTGCACTGAATGGATATGTCCGCGTTTTTCACATTAGTGATCAGTTTTGAAGAGAGGTACATTGGCAAAGTAGAGTTGCCCTGATCTCCAGAAAACACATCCAGTAGCGGCGGATCCAAGGGGGGCGTAGCTACAATGGGAAATTTTAGTTAAAACGTATCTTTATATAGAAATCCGTGTGTGTAACTACTGATGCGTTATAAACTCACTTTCCGCACAATTTCTTCCATAAAATCCATCAAAACACGAGCAAAAGTTGAGTGCTTCGCAACGCCCATTCCCAGAGCAGTTGTTTAGATCATCACATCGAACTGTAAGGAAACCAAAAATTGTTGTAATTTATAATGTTTTTTACATAGGAAAAAAATTGATATGCATGATCTATTTATATGAACGGTTACCTTCTGGCTGTGGGTAAAATAAGGTGTAAATGTTGTCAGATGAAATGGTTTGGAGTGACTCAGAGTTTCCTATCTTATCCACGGGGTAAATAATAATAGTGTGGTTCTTTCCAGGATCCACGGGGAGGGACACTGCATTTTCACGTACACCACTTACCAAAAGTACCGATTCCGAATCTGAAGAAAAACCAGAATGTGCTAAAAGTACTCTGCTTTTACAGTTTTGTCAGGAACACAAGTTCTGTCTAAAAAACATTGTATAATTTGAATTACTAACCTGCATATAGAATATCAATGAAGTCTAAGCCACTTTCGTTGTCTATAACATCTAGATTTAAAATTAATGATCCATACACCATAGCCTCCTTATTAACAGAAACATTACTAACATGTGGAGGATCGTCATCAATCTACAATACAAAATGATATATTAAGATAATGAGATTATGAGAAGTATACCTCGTAATTACATAATTCTATCTTTCTTTCATAAGGATGATATCATTAGTGTCCTTTATTCAGTTCATGATAATATATGCATGACTTCCTTTGAAACTTACTGTATTAAATATTTCAGGTGTATCTATAGGTTCGTTTTGGTCAAATATAATGACAGCTTTCGCAGTTATTTTATCCAAAGACTTGACATCGGAGCTCGGTCTAATGGAGAAGGTGACGAAGCCTTGTCCTGTTGTTCCGTTGTTTGGGGGAAGAAACCCGACTGATGGATCCGAAGGAGGCAGTCCTGAAAAACGATATATATATATATATATATATATATATATATATATATATATATATATATATATATATATATATATATATATATATATAAAGGTGAGAGAGAGAGAGAGAGAGAGAGAGAGAGAGAGAGAGAGAGAGAGAGAGAGAGAGATTTTGTATACATGTATTTAAAAGAAATAGGGATTAAATAAACAGATTCGCTGAATTGTTCCTTTCACCTGTGCTTCCATTTATAGCCTGAAATTCCCAAGTTACTTTGTTGTTTATGATGTCTAATCCACCCCTCATTTGAACAAAAACGCCATACTCCTCCGTCAGGTTCACGGTTTCCTGTAAAATTACTCCAAACTGTATCTTGTAACAGTTTAAAATTAAAGCAAATAAATGAAGCCATCCTCGGGGAAATTTTTAACTTGTTATATTTCATTACAGCCTTTGAAAGATTTTGAAAAAATAAGAACTGATAAAGAAAAGAGGGTAGTAATGTGCATACCTGTATAAAAGATTGCTTGAAACTCAATTCTTTTACGAACTCTCCAAATCCAAAGCCCCCTAGACGAAATGTCCTCGCGTTCAGTTTATCATGAAAAATTATTTCGATGAAAACTCTTTGGGCTGGCGCTGTTGCATTTTCCATATTTTCAAACCGTATTTTGTAAACCATTTCTGCCTTGGAAGTTATAAATCTGGCTGCTCCGTATCCTGCTGGTCCCAGTATATCATTCTAAGACAACAATAACATCATATAAATTGCTTTAAATCAAATCCTCCCGATATATTTATTTCAACAATCGATGTGTGAATAAAATTTCATTTAATGCTCTACATTGTACTAATATTATTAAATTATGTATTTTGTTGAAACAGTAAAAATACCGGGTCAAAAGAGCCAATCCATCTGGTTAATGCATCCCCTATCTCTGAAGGATCATCGCAAGCCTTTGACGCAAAGTCCGCCGCTCTGTCTAATTTTTCGGTGTATGGTTTTACTTTGTCATACATGCGTTGTAATCCACCCTGAAAACGGTGAAACTGACTGTTGATAACAGTTCCAGCGGCTTTGCAAAGGAATGCAGGCTGCAAAAAAAAAAAAGAAAAGAAACATAAAAATTATTTTAAATAACGTCTTGGATTACAAACTTGTGTTATTTAATGTATTTCGCTCGTGAAATTTGTTATATGAAAGATTTTTGAGAAGTATATTTTGATAAGTTCTCATATAGTGTGACCCAAAGTCACATAGAAAATAGGGGGTCAGTGTACATCTTACATAGCTACAGTACAATAAAGTTAACCTTTTTGCACTTCAATTTTAACTCTTTCATTAATCACTTTAACAATTTTAAATTCTATCACATGATTAAAGCCCTTAAAATACCTATACCTAAATAATTGGGAATACTTACTGGACTGTCTATAAGTCTACATGGAGGATTCCACCGATCACAGAATTTGTTGATTGCATCCTGTCGAGCACTTGCATCATTCAAAAGAGACTCTATTTTCTTCTTGGTATCATGATATTTCTGAAAAAGCATCCTTTTGTGAACATTAGCATATCATTTCTGAACATTCGTTAACATCAGTATGATGTATTTGCGTTACTGAATTTCCAGGAAAAGGGATAACTGAATTTGAAAAATATATGTAAGGATAAAATACTTTTTTAATCATAACCTGTATCGCATTGTCTAAGCAATCACATGGTGAGAGAATGCACTTTCTGTGTTTGTATAAAAATCCTCCCACATCAATGATTCCCATGGCAACTCTGCCCAAAGGTGAAGCTTTAAGTCCCGTTTTTACCCAATCAACAACTTTATTAATTCCTTTATCTACAAGATGTTTTCCACAGTCCGAAAGGCCCTGATAATATTTATTGTTTTCCTTAAATTCATCAATAAAATTGTTAATTCCATTCCCTTCGTTAAAACGTTTTCTTCGAGGTTTTTGAATTTTTGAACTTGTTGGATTTTGGTTTTGGTTTGTTTTTTGGGGTTCGGTCACTGATCTCTTTCTTCTCCTGATTTTGAGTAAATATGCATGGTTGCCATCGTAGAGTCTGGACACAGCTTTTCTGTAAGAATGATCCACTGTTGTTTCCACATCTGCAAACAGAGATAATAATGACAAAGTAACCCCCCAATTATGCATTAAAATGCGTCTATGTGGACTTAGCTTTATCAATAAAACTACAAAAAGGTAGAAGGACCTCTCAAATTACTAACCAATAACTAACTAAATCACAAATCATTAAAAGTGTACTTATATTTCTAATAATATGGAGTAAAATACGTTTACCTAAGTCTTTCAGAGTACAGCGTTGATTTTCATTATAGTTTAACACAAGATCCATATTTAAAGGATTATTTCCCTTAAACATGTAAAGGTTCGGCTGTTGACAAAATATGCCTTCTCGATCTTTGGTGAAAAATCGTCCACTTTTGGAATCGTACGGTCTTGAACCCAAGAAATATATGCTTGGCATTTCAACAAATGTAAGCATACCCCATTGTCCGAGATATCGAAAGTGACCTTGTGTCCCTTTGGATGACGTTAATACAGCCCCAAATGGTTCATAAATAAAACTATCTACAGCTTCTCCTTCTTTACCCAAAATATTCACAACAGACCTAAAGCAAGAAAAAATATTTTCAGACTTTTATAGTATTAAACACTATTTTTCAATCAAGAATATAAACATACAGTGGACCTTCAGATATCCGGACGCCAGATATCCGGATGCTTCAGTATCCAGACGATTTTTCATCGGAACGAAATTTTAAAATGTTATTCTGTCTTGTTTAACTGGTGATTCAGATATTCGGATGCTTCACATATCCGAACAAATTGACTGGGAACCAAAGTGTCCGGATAAATGAGAGTCCACTGTATATGAATAAATGATAGAAAATCAAATTAAAGAAATAATAAATTAAGGAAAAAAATTGATTTCAATTTTCGTGCTCACGTTGCTAAAAGGTCTAAAACGATGTCAATCAAAAAGACAACTTTTTCTCTCAAATACAACTTTTTCTGAGCGAATTAAAATCAAGACAAATTGTTTTAAAAGTGCAACAGATGTATATGAAACAAGAAATAAAACAAATATTGAAAAGGAACACAGAAATACATTAATTTGAAGAAATCATATGAAGAAGTTTTAAAAAATGATGAAAAGACATACAATTTGAAACAAAGGAAAATTGATGATTAGAAGAGAAAAAGGAAAAAAAAAACAAAATAAAGAAAGGTTAGAAACAAGAACCAACCCGAAGCCATCATATTGATAATAAGAATATTCGTTATTTTCTTTTGTGGCAATCAGGCCTATTCCATCTGCATAGATATGGTACTTCGGGACTCCTTGGGATTCTTCTAACTAAATAAAGAAAAATGCATGTTAATTTACAGTTCAATAACTTTTTGAGATCTGGCCTTGGGGCCATAAAACTTAGACGAGCTCACGCTCACTTTTTCCAAAGGAATATATAGCGGAAAAGTGAGACTTAGATCAAAAGTGAGCTCGTCTAAGTTTTATGGCCCCCAGGCCTGTCGCTGAAACATTCAAAGTCTTTTTAAAAACTAGGAAACATTTAACTTATATATTGGTAACGTATGTGCGTACATTTCTATGATTTTGATTTAGTATCACGTTATGATTTTATTTTTATCTTAAAAAAGAAAACAAGCTATAAGTTTATTATTTTAGATATATATGCTACCGCCGTATAATTAATAAAAATAAAGACGTTCCACAATGCCTGTTATTTATTTTTTTCTTTTACTAGAAATTACCTGTTTCAATATTCTTCCAGATACATCAGTCAAATATATCACATCACTGTTATTACACCTTTTCCTTCTTATATGGCCAAGTGAATCATACTGTATTTGACACGTTGCGTTTTCAGACACAAATCGAGACAGTCTATTATCTAAATCATATTCCATTAAAAGATTTGACTTCCTGACCATATTTCCATTTTCATCATAGGAATATTGTTCGCCATCGATAGAAACGTACTGATTTAAACTGTTTACTTGGTAGAGTTTTGAAATGTCATTTTGAATGACATATACTCGATTTTTGCCTTGGTCATATTGTAGGAGGGTCGTCTCATTGCGTGGATTCTTCATCGATATGAGTTGTCCAGATAAATCGTAAGCAAAACTCCAGGTGCCATCAAATGTTTGCATAGAGGAAAGCCGTCCCCTCATATCATATGTGTATCTAAACTCCGAAGATGCTGTGCCATTTGGGTGAAAATTTGATATCACTTTAGGAAGTCTTGTTTTCTCATCATATTCATAGTGTGTGGTAGCATTATTTCCAAGAATTTTTGTCTTTATTAACCCATTTTCATTATAATCTACTTTAACAATGATTTTACCATTAGTGTTGTCCTTCACATATTTTATGTTCCCATACAAGTTATAGTTATATGCTATATCATAAGGGTCGGACTCAATTCTCAAGTTCCTCAGACGATTCGAATCATCGACAGTTTGAAATACTGTGTCATTAACCTTTTTAGTGAACCCTTTTTGTCGTCCAAATTCGTCGTACATAAAGTTGATTTGGGATTGTGAATCCTTGATAGATTGTATCCTGTCATTATCCGTATATTTGAACTGAACATAATGGTCTCCTGATTCACGCAAAGTCAATCTCTGAAGCTTATCATAATAATAAGTACTCTCTATTCCTCTTTGGTCCTTGTGAACAACAGCATCACCCAAGTCAAGATATGTCTCATTGGAATTGTCAGGATATATGATCGTATGTATAGAATTGTTGAGTGACCTGAACAGATAGTACGGATTTAAATTACCATCCACATAAATAACACGATATCCATAGTCGTTATCCAAATATCCAATACTATCGCTGTTAGCATCTTGCACTTCTGTTATTTCTCCACTTGTTATAATTCTATTTACGACCTGAAAGAAAACAATATATCCAAGTTTATGTATCAGAATATTTGTTTTCATTTTTGCAAGTGAGGTAAACTAGTTAAAGCTTCAGGTGGATAGAATAACATCGGTACTCACCAAATCGCCTTCAATCGTTTCTTGAACATTTTGTTTCCTTACATTTTTCACGATTGGATGCCGATTCTTCTTATGTCCTATGATTTTTCCTTCATGAGATACCCAGTACGATTCTTTAGTATTTTGTGGTACATGCATTATGTCAAGCCTTCCGTTTTGGAAATCTTGATAAATTTTCTTTGAAACTAGATAATCATTAATAAAGTTTTCGTCTGATCTAAGATGATGGTTTGGGGTGTACTGGAAAGCTCTTCTCATACCTCTGCCTTCATTTATTGTCACAAGATCCCCATTTTCGTTGTATTCATATGACAGGTACTCATTGCCACAATAAACGGAAGATAGAAAGCCTCCTTCGCTATAGCCGTAGGAACTTGAAAACACATGTAGTACGTTTAAATAATGTTATTAAAATTTTTTAATTTCTTTTTTTTTTCAGAAAGGTAAGTTTTTACAAAAATGACCAGATAGTATTGAAATAATTTTGATTAAGAATGTTCGACACTTCACTTACCACTTCTCATATTCAGATGTCAGATTGTTACGTTTGGACATTTCAGCTATATTGTTATTTTCATTGTAGATAACATCAACATCCATATACTCCGAGTGTAGAGCAGAGAGACGATCGTTTGTGTCGTAGGCAAACTCAATTTTCTCATTTTCATGGATGACGTATTCAATCTTTCCAGTTGTGAAGTTGAAGTGATAAACATCATTTGATTCCGTATCCAGAAATAATAGTGTATCTAAAATGAAAAATTTACGCATGTCTATCGTCCTAAATAGTATCTAATTATACAAAGGCAATAAACACTTCATGTAAAATTGAAATGAAATTCAAATCTAAAATTCAACTGTTTTTCAATCTCGACTTAGGATAAATTAAGATAAATGTAATACCCTGAAACGAAAGCGTAAGATTTCCCCATTCTGCGTTACTGTACGTCCCGATTCCATACGCTTCGAACACAATCTCTTCTCTTTTCCAATTTAGAACTGCAAGACTTTCGTCTAAGCCAACCAAATATGTTTCCCTAATTTAAATCAATATCCAAAGGTCAGTCTGATGTACTAAACGAAATAGTAAATTCAATTAATTTGAATATTATTGTCTCGCATTAAATATATTTCTAGAAATGTATTTGGATTTTTACCAATAGGGCATCAGCCATCCTATGCCTACTGGGCCTTTTCCTCTTCTTAGACCAAAACGTCGCGGATATAAACGGACGACATCTAGTTTTACTCCGTACTGACTTGTCTTTCCAAAGTCAGAAGCTTTCACCATGTATTTTTCCTCACAAAGACCCTCGGATATGTACAGGAGATATTTAACTACATTTTCCAAACTATATTGCCGATGACCTAAAACAGATATTTCATTCATCACCTCCGTTATTTTATCACGAAGGGAAAACCATGATTCGCCAACAAGTCCAATGAAATTTTGCCAAATATCGTCCCAAACAGCATCCTCTAGAAATGTTGGTTTCATCGTAAACTTCATGTTCATATATGAATGTTTTTCGTTAGAAAACCCCATCCTTGATACGACTACCTTCATTTCGTTTGGTACGTCTGGAGTGGCTGACCTGATTTCAAATTGTAGTCTGCTTGCTTCAGATGGTAATAATATACCTGCTGGACCATCGGAAGATCCAGATACAATTGTCCTACCGCTGGTCCAATCACCATTTTCAAAATCATGAATATACTTTAATTGTCCACCAATTGCTTTAATATGAACCAATGGAGAATATATATCAGAGTCACCAGAATTTTTGATATCAACATGCATAGTGTCTTTTTGCCCAAGGAAGAGAGTTTCTGGCATAGATATTTTTACTGTAATATATCCATCTCTTCCATTCATAATAAACAAGGCATTTTGAATACTGGATACTTTTTGAGTATCATGATCAGTCAGATTTAAGCTGTAAGTAGAATCTTTGTTCAAATGCGTGGCATCAAATGTTGCAGCAACTAGCGATGATGAATACCAGTATTTTTTATTAGTCTGAACACTGAAACTGGAATTAAATAAGCAGGCAGAAAAATTTTCAGGAAGAAGAGTTCCACTTATTTTCAAAGTTATATTTCCGTGAGCTGTAGCTGTGTTTGGAAAAATATTAATTACTTCAAATTTAGCAAGCTTAGGTAGAAAAGAGAGAAAGACAGGGCTGTTGACATTTCTTGAACCTGAAGTCTTCATTAAAATATAGTAATTTCCTCCACGTGTATTTGTCACAACGATTTCTTGGCGGGATTTAAACGGATCTTCAACTGAGAAGTCGAAATCATACTCACTCGGTGCGCTTTCATATTTAACATAAACTTCGTGAAACACAAACGAGACATTACATTCTGTACGGATGAGCATAGTTTGTGCTGCAGGAACAGAAGGTATTACAAAGATTTTTAATTGATTTGGAGAGATAGAAAAAGATTTATTTTGTCCAAGGTTGCAGATTGGAAATCGAATAAATGTTCTGTTTATGGATACGCCAATATTGTTTGTTTGGTTAAAGTCTTCAAAATTTGTGCGACTTTTTACAATCGTTTTATAGTTTTCTGATGCTAACGGTGGTAGTTTAGCTGAATACGTCTCAACAATTCCCCCAAAGGTTCTATTACGAATGCTCGTACGTCCACACTGCATTTTACCGAGAAGTTCATCAGTAACGCTCCACTGACTATCCTGTGACAGATAAACAGAATCACATTTGTATCCACTGGCATGCTGGGAACCGTTATTCATGATTGACCACTGCACAGTTAACATTTCACCGTATTCAGTCTCTTCTGGTGCGCTCACATTAAATACCACGATATCTGTCCGAATGTTTTGCTTTACTTTCAACACAGAAATTGCAATGTTATCGTTTTCGTTTAATTCAATTAATTCGTGTCGTGAATCAACTTGCACCACCAAAAAGTAGTCTTTACTCTCCATATCAAAAGGAAGTTGAATAAAGGATGACACAGATCTTGTCCCATTCTTGTTTATAAAGTCAGATATTTTCGTGGTGTTGATTTTCCACTCAAACAGATCGTTTTCAATACTACTGCTTAAGTAAATCGCAACATAGAATCCGCTTTTTACATCACAGAAACCCGAATTACTTATGTTATATTCAACATTAATTAGTTCACCCGCTGTAAATGAAAACGCTTTTGAATCCATATCTACTTGAAGATTTGCACAAAATGTACGCATTTGATACTCTAGAAGATCTTTTATTGGAAAATGTCCTTCTGTTGCAGAGCAATCAATTGTCTGAAGTCTGTTACTGGACTGGTAGTTATCCATATAATCAGGTAATACAATAATAAAGTTTTCGTCATCGCTTATATCAAACGGCAAAACAACAGATGTATTCACAAAGTAAGATTCTCCAGGTGATAATTTTCCAATATGATTAACAAGAGCAAGCTTTTCAAGTTTCTGGTTGCCTTCCACATAGCTGTTGCATATAAATATAGCGTCATTCCACGATGTTTTTGAAGCTATGTCTCCCTCATTTACAACTGTATACGAAATGCAGAAAGACTCAATGTCATTCAACTGGCATGCGCCCGAGGAAGTAACAGTTGCTTTCAAATCGACTTTTGGAAGTTCAGGAAAGGAAATTGAGCTATCACTTAATTTCCAGTTGTTACTTTCAGCATTCACCTCCTGTATGACATTGTTACTGTCCGTTGTAACATTTACGTGAAAACGTCCAACTAATGACGAAGGAACTATAAAAGTCTTATTCACTAAGTACTCAGCACCACTCTCAAGCTGCCAAGATTGTCTCTGCGACGCTATACTGATTTTGCTCACGCTACCTCCTGCTGCCTGTACACTAATATCATCATTCCAATCTCTCTTTTCTTTCATACCATTTCCAGTATTTTTAACAGTCCAGATAACTACTATCAATCGGGATTGTTTCGGTACAAGATAACAATTTATGTCCGTAACTACTAGATCTGGCGATGGAGGGGATAAAACTTTAACTGATAAAATTTTCGAGTTATCAAACAAATTAGTTCCTTCAAATACTCCTCTATTATTGTTTATGACCAGATTCAAATGTCCAAATCCAATAAAATTTTGAGGAGTCTGTACCTCAACAGTCCAAGAATAAGAATCGCCAAGTAATAAAGGTCCCTTCATTTTTCTGACAAAAGAGTCAATCATGAAATCATTTGGTTCAAATTTAATCTTCAATATATCTGTCCAAAATAATTTGTCTGATATTGCAATATTTGTAATAAGAACTGTCCATCTTACGAACATCTTTTCACCGCTATAAACAGTTTCATTTAATATTTGAAAGGCTATAATTTTCAGATTTGGAACCTTTAAGGGGATAACGATTTCACGGTTGTCTTGGTTGTTGTTTTCGTCATGTTCATATATTTGCCCAAATTTGTCAGTATAAAGAACGGCAGATATTTGTCCATATATTCTTTCGCCCAGTTTTAGTGACGCTTTTTGAGAGTATTTTTGACTAGGATTCAAAGATGTTAATTGTATAGGGACATCAAAAGTATATTTCAGAGAATTGGAATTCTGATTCTGAATGGCAATGCCGTCAGTCCATGTATTTGTTAGTGTTGGTCCACTTCCAGTGTTCAGAACAGTCCAACTGACATTTAAAACGTTATAACCGAATTCATCAACATGTAAACCTAAAGACATTTCTTCAACTCGTAGGTCTGGAAGTAATTGGGATACATTAAAATGAATGCATTGCTTGTTATTGTCTCGAGATTGATATTCAAACACTCGTTCACTTTCATCAGTGATAGCACATAAATTGTATCGACCACTATCAATATAAGGGTTAATAACATAGAAAATGGATTCCGTGTATTGCTGATACGGCTTCACTTTGTGATGAATGTAAGTTTCTTCTAAGATCATTCTCCATTTCGAATTGGTTTCTAAAACCTGAAAATTAAAACTGGATGAACATCTGAAGGAGGCTGGGGGGTCAACAAATTAACCACAAATTAACCACTAGATTTAACTTAATTTTTTAGAGATGATATCTTTAGCTGTCAACTATGAATTGGCAAAAAAAAAATCAAAAATTTTAGTTTTAAAATTAAATCGTTTTCTAAAACGTCATATGGAGCTCTTCTTCTAAAGGAGATAAATATAGTCTAAAAATGGCCACAACTCCCCAACCCCCTTAAAGAATCAGCATCAAAAGCTTGAACATAAGCAAAACAAAATGTACATTATTTATTAAAGGGACATACATGTATTTTGAGCAAAAGCTCAATTACACAAATACAGAAATATTGACCCTTTAAATGACTTTTCGATTTATTGATAATAAATATCGGTGTTTCACATCTCAGATTCAAAAAAGATTTTTTCTAAACTCACGATTGCGTCGATCCACGTGGATACATCAGGTTGACGAGATCCTTCATTTCTTACTATCCACTCTATTTGTGCAATTTCTCCAGTTACGAACGTAGATTTAAAATTGACTATTTTTAGGCTTACTACGCTAAGATCTGGAGGAGGTGATAATGTTACGTCAAGAGGTTTCTGTAAAGAGAATTGCAATATTGCATACCGATACATTTTAACAAGAAAGTTTGAAAGAACAAGTGTAGGTCAAGGAATTATATTATGTTTCCTATCCTTCCAACTGAATTTATGTTGGATATTCATGAAGTGTCAGTACATACCGATGCCAACAAATTATTGTCTTCGTCAGTGTGCTCAAACACATTATCGTTTGCATCGGTTCGAATAAGAATGTAGAAAACTCCATAGATATTTTGAGGAATCTTCAGAAGTTTCTCTGTCAGGTATGAACTCCCTGCCAACAGAACTTCATTTCTAGTTGTTGAAAGCATGTATATATCCGATCCATCTGTTTGGAAAATGACAAAATAAAATTATCAACAATCAGGAAAATGACAAAACAAAAATATTCAACTATATGATAGGAACAAAAAAATATGCTAAACAAAATTTGTGTAAACTATAATCATATTTTCCAATCATGTCATCTTTTTTAATAAAATACCGTATATAGCATCCTTTGACCAATAAACGGAGTCGATCCAACTGCCAGACTTTGTTGATCCTTTACCGACATTCTTAACCACGTACTGTAGTTGGATATTTTGTCCTAAAACATAATTTGCAAGAATAAAAAAGACATTCAAAAATCTTTTTTTAACTTGTATTTTAAAGTGATATGTATAGGTTTACCAGAGAACGTTGATGACGGAATATCAATTTTATCGATAATCAGGTCTGGTGGAGGTGTAAGCTGTACATTCACAGTTTTTCTACTTCTAACAAAATTGTTAGATCTGTCGTAATCTTCAAGATAACGAAAGGTATCCACGCTTACAAATATAAATGCTGTTCCAATGTCATCATCAAGTAATCTGACCTGAAAAATATTGTTTCATTTCTTGATTTTTTGCATATTATTTCAATTTACTTCTAAAGACACCTAGACTGTCCCTTTTAATTACAAACTTCTTCACTTACCTCTGTTATGCCTTGGTATGTGTCGTTTTCTGCAATTATCTTCCGATGAATAATTGAAGCGACCCGTCTTGCGCTACTTATGTCCTCGGTGAATCCGAAATATACTCTGTCATACCAGTACTCATCGTAGGAAGTTGCTGCTTTGCCAATGTTTTGAACTATCCAACGAACTTCAAAGGATTGTCCTGAGTGGGCCACGGGAGGAATCGTGATTTCAATTATAGAAAGATCAATGTAAGATTTTGTAACGAAATTCCATCGGGGGCTATACTGCGTAGTATTGTCATTGGTGACATACTCAACCTGCCAATAATATTTTTCACCTTGTCGAAGATCAACGCATTGAAACCACGTATTTGGTCCGAAGTAATTATACATCTTCGGTCTATTTGTTCGTGCATTCCATACAAATAATCTATATCTTGCAGATTTTAAGCCTTCGGGCCAGCTAAGAAGAGGTCGCAAATCCGTTATTTCGCCTCTTTTTGGAGTTATCGGGTCTTGAGGATCCATAACTGTTATTGTCTGAAACCCAACAATTGTTTTACCACAATTGTCAGAGACAGTCCAATTCCTCACGAAAGTGAACCCGCAGCCATTTCCTATTTCAGACGGATCCTTAAAAACAATGGATACCTCGAGACCACAAGGGTGGTACACTTGAACTGAGGGTTTTAGAACATCCTCTGTAATTTGCACTAAAGATCCACATGCAATCACAACATCTAAGGGTAAAACAACAACTGGTCCACTACTAGATATGATACTGATTATCTGGGCCATCACATACTTATTCCCTGCAAGGTCATATGCAGTCCACGATCTTCTTACTTTGCAATTATCGAGCATGAGATCAGTGTAGGTAAGGTTTTTAATACCAATGTTGTCTGTTGCATTTGGTTTTCCGGTTATGTTCAGGGTAAGTGCATTTTGACATTCCACAGAGAGATCAGACAATTGTTCTATATATGGTAGTTCAAAATCTGAAGGTAAATGTGTAACGTTATAGTGTAACATTGTCAAAATAGTTTTCAACCTTCTTCACGAAACAAAAGGATGCTGATATGGGAACTTCTTAGTGAATAAACTTTTAAAGGGTATATCTCTATTTAAATGAATATAGATAAATAAGGAACGAATAATTACAAACCTGTTTCAAATTCATAAAATAAGGTTTTCCCTCTGTTTCCAGACTCATCAATGCCCATAACTTCGAATTTGTATTCAGTACCACTAACCAGATTAGGTTTGGTAATGGAATGATGAGTTCTTAATTGAGCACTACATTGAGTAAATGAAGATAAGCTGTTTTTGGGTGTGAGACTGCAAGATATGCGACAGCGCTCGTTGCAGTTCATTTCAAAAACTGCCGTATTCTGATTGCTTAACGTTGATGGGGTTTTCGTCATCGTTAAAATTGGACCTGTTTTATCTACAACATCAAATTATAACACGAAATTGTAATAATGGATTTCAGTTTTGAAATGGAAAATGAAGAATGATTGTGTCTGTACATCTAGTTGTTGGATTAATTTAGCTTTATGTTTGAATTAAAATTCCTTACCAACGAACCATGTAAATGGTTTTAAATTAGCTGTATTATTTTCAAAATCTGTTCCTTGAACAAATAAAGTGTAAAATCCTTCTTTGAAATCTTCAGATGTCCACGATGTTTCGTTGCATTTAATATTGGAGAAATGTGTTTCGTTCTGTAGAGTGCAATTAACATACAAGACAGGTTCATCAAAATCCCATTTCACAGTTATATTACCACCCGTCACGGTTGGATTACACGCACAAAATGTCAAAACTGGTGGTGTGACATCTCCTTTGAAGTAAAACATAATTATGTATCAGAATGATTCTTATGCTGTTGTATTTAAGCAGTTGAAAAGTTAAAAGTCTTATTGTTCCATCTCTGATTATTTCATGTCATGTAGAATACGAGTAGTGCGAAGTAGATTAATCAGAGATGGTCTTTTTTATCCTTATCTAATTATGCCTTTCTTGTGATTTTTATGGAAACTCCGGAAAGGAGATTGGAATGCAGTTAATAATTATCAATGCCTGTTTTTTCTATGTACTTTGTAGTTACAATAACTTGGAATTTTAAAAAAAAAGATCAACAGTCGCTCGCGTGATGAAGTGGTTAAATTTGGAGTTGATCCTTAAGGCGCGGATTCGAATATAACTGTGAGACATGAAGACAGGTCCTTCGGATGAGGCCGTATAAACAAGGTCCTTAGTCGCAGTAGGAACTGGCACGATAAAGGTACCTCACTCCTTAAGTGCTATTAGTGCAGATAATAAGATAAAATTTCCACCGGCAAGTAGTAGCGTTTCCATATGAGTGAAACATTCTCGAGAGGGATGTTAAACAACAATCAGTCAATCAACCAATCAATCAAAAGATCAACAACAAAATAATATAGTAAAAGTGATAGCACACACAAACTTATTGTGTTGTTTGCTTATTTGTTGTTTAATGTCCCTCAGCCTATTTTTCGTCATATGGAGAAGTCACCATTTGCCAGCGTAGGGCTGCAAGTTTAGTCCTACACTAGGTACATACAGCTATTGAGCAATGAGGGATCTTTTTCGTGCCAACACGTACTGCGACAAGGGATCTTAGTTTATGAGTACAGTCTTGTCGGAAGGACCGGTATCTACGTTCCATTCTTGGATTCGAACCCTCAGCTCCTTACTAGTATTCAGCGACCCTAGAGCATACGCTCTAAGCACTGCGCCACCCCCTTGACCAATCAATTTGAAACACACTTTTATTGTTTAATCAAAAATCAATCGTTCAAACGGATGATTATTAACAGCGATTGAAAAATCCTTAATCTTCTTTTGCAGAAATGATGGTAACTTCTGTTCGGGTTGGTATCTGAGTGTAGAATGCATGTAACAACTTATATTTTATAGAATAAATCTGTTATTCTTTAATATAAGTTGTTACATGCATCATTTTAATGCATTTAACGTATTATAATCCACTACTCTGACTTCCGTTATCTCTTATCCTAATCAATATTAGGATAGGTGACTGTTTGTTGTCAGTTTAACCAAGAGAGTAAGAAAATCAGATCAGATTTGATTTAAAAATTATGTTTTTTCTTAAACGATGTATAATTTTTTACACCGTCAAACACAAATTACAGTTATTATCCAAACATTCATTAAATTTAAAAATTAAAATGTACGCAAAATTGTCAAGATGATGTGGCAATTATAAATATCATTGCCGTATGAAGAGCACGTAGTTGTCTGTTCCGAAGACATTTTTCCTATCGCTATTCCTAACTGCAAACATTTGAGTGACGTCCACGCGTACGATGTATATGAATACAGCTAAAACAATAAAAGAAAAGAAATATATCGCAGTGGTTACTTTTAAAAATCCTATAAAACCAGTAAAAATATAAGAACTTACTGACGCGGAAAGTCCAGTTATTAGGATCCCAAAGGGCAGCCGATTCAGCTCCACAGCCAGAAACGCCTTTAGCAATACCTGGAAAATCAAGTTCTCATTTCTGCATAATAGAATTCTAACCTGCCTACTACATGACAATTACCCATCAAAAAATTGGGTTTTATACTATATATCTTTGTGCAAGTTGTATATGTTATTTTTTGTTAATATTCTAAATCCAGTGAATCGTGACCTCATTCAATGGAACTAGTATTCAACTCTGAGCGTGAATCTTGTTAAAATGCAATAAAACATATTCCCCATTTAACATTCCAAACATCATTTTACAAAGCTTGTTACACTATATCAATATCAAATTGCACTTGACATAATGAGCATAAGACAACCAAATCACAAAACAAAAAACAAAACCTTATCACTGTATACAAAGTGCTTATCGAAAATCTTCTTGATTTGGATCATTTGCTATATTGCTTTGGGTACTCTGATGCATTATGGGTAAAAAAGAAAATGCTGCAGGCAAAATATGGGTTAAAGTAACTTTAAGAAATTAGAAAACTTATTAAACCTTTATAGAATCAATGTAAATTTATTTGAGAAAATTTTTGAGTTGAAACAAGTTAGAAATTCGATACCATTCTCATTTACTAAGTTAAAATGGGATTTTCGCTCATTTTGAATTATTTCAATTGTTCTTAATTTTTTCTAACTATATTCTGTTGTAAAAGTTATTGTATCTAACTTTTCGCCTCAATTCACCCACGAAACATCATCTGATTTCTATAAATTACGCTTTTTAGAGAGATTAGGCTATTCTTGTTTTGAGTGAATGCTTTACTATGTTTGCAACATATTTTTGCGATGGCTATACTTTTTTCAGATCCTTTTTGTGATTTGCATGAAATTAAGATTTATTGTTTTTTGATAAAATTATCGCGATTTAAACAGTTTTGAAAAAGGTATTGGCATTTATTATCACAAGAGAAACATTTATCGGTCGAAAGAAGTCAAACAGAGATAAATAAATATAGAATTTGATGAAATGTGCTATCATTGCTGGTGTTTGTGCTATACTTGATTTGCGTTTTGTCACGACTGATACAGAAATGGTATGTTTGATTTGAGTAGAATACTTCTTGAAGAATGAAGGCGTATATAGGGGGAGTATAATCCAAAGACACTGTCTCAAGTTTATGTCATTAAATAACTTATTGATAAATACACGTAATATATTTTTTACTTATGTTTTAAAGGTATGTAAAACGGAAAAAGGGCTTCACAAACTAATCGAATTTTTTCCAAAACTCATGATAGGCGTAAGACTGAATGCGTTAACCACAATATGCTACGGTGTCTTCTTGTTGTTTGTGTGTCAGTTTGCTTAAAAAGAAACGAATTTGTTGAGACAAATAATTTATCTTGGGTTGTTGTTTTTTTTGGCTTACTTCTCTCACCCAACTGTTAGACCTTTGTTTTTATACTAAATTAGATTACGAAATGTTCCGTTCACTTGATCAATACATAGGACTCACAGCGTGTGTGACCGATCAACAAGGGATGCTTATTCCTCTAGGCACCCGTTCCAATCTCTGGATCTCTGGTATTCCCGGGGGGGGGGGAGTATTTATGCCCTGCCCACATGTTTGTATTGTTTGTATATTTTTCGAAATAAATCAATGCTCATTATCCTAACTTTTTTTTTTCATTTCAGAAATATTCAACTTTTAGATAGAATGGGTTCAGACGCCATTAAAAAACACAATGCATTTACTTTTCCGTAATTTAAACACAATACTTCGAATAGAAACCTGGTCCGTTCATATTCAAAAATAAATCTTTATAGCTAGAATCATTTAATATAAGCGTACCCATTTTCGACTAAATAAGTCTAAAAACAATTTTCAATCAATATGCCTTTCAGAACAATATATGAATCTAATATGTTGAAGATGACATTACCTACAACATAATTTTAGAAAATAAAACTTTTCCGTCATAGAGCGGGTGATTGTCCTCGCCATGTACACTTTTTTTCTCTCTTTTATAAATCTATGATAAAGAGATTATAATGCAACTTTTGTAATATTTCACCTATTTTCACACTATCATCAGACATCAGAACTTAAAACTAAGAATCTGAAACAGAATCTATGAATATAAAAGTTTAATTAAAATATGGCATTATATTCCCACAGACAGATCCAGAAAAGCGGATAAAGGTTAGGGGATTACATGAAATTTTTAAAAATATTTCATGCATTCTCTTCTTAACGCTTATATGGCTGAATTGAAATTAGTAAATGAACGAAGCGGCATTAAGATAAGTTGAATGCGTTTTAATTAATCATTAAATTATCAAATCAAAACTTTGAATGCATATATATACCACTAAATATTTACAAAACCATGTGTATATGTAAAGTCTAAGAGTTGAAATCGATCTTTAAAATTTTACAATATTACTTGTAAATTGGTGAGCAACATGAAAATTCTTAATTTGGTATGTTTTTTTTTTTGATGAATGACTGTCATAAGTTGATAGGTAAAATGAGAATATATATGGAAGGATGTAGCTTGTCCACCAATTAAGCCGACTCCATCCCCAACCATAAAATAGGATTTTTGTGTTGAGATCTTTTCAGTGACGTAGCATCGTTTTTAAAAGTGGGGGGGGGGGCCAGGCAGAGAAATTTTTTTTTACTTACCTGAAAAAGTTGACAAGCAAAAAAAAAGGGAAGTTAAAAGTTGCCCAAAGTCGAAAATCCTATTTCTTTTTCTCAGTGTCAACTACTTTTAGTACCAATTCTTATACTACATTTTCGGTACATTTCTAAAAGTAGGGGGGCCAACCAGGCTTTCAATTAACATTTCCTATAGTGTTAGTAAGGTTGGGAAAAAAAGGGGGGGGGGCAGCCCCCCCCTGGCCCCCCGGATACTACGCCCCTGCTTTTAGTGTTATGGACAACAATGTAACCCCCTCCCGTTTCCCGAAGAAATTTATGCTTGAGCAATCCTTTATTCCGGAATGAAAAAATGGAACCAAACATATAAATTAACGAAATAAAAACGTCATTACAGTTGCTTCCATTAGAAATTTAGAAAGATACTGTCACGAAAGGTTCAAAATGTTATAAATAGGGACCCCTATAATTTATTTTATTAAAAGAAAAATAAGTAACGTCAGGTGCCTGTGTGTTTGTACTCTCCTAAGTAACTTACCAAGAGGCCACACTACTTTTTCTATAATTTATATAAATGCATATGTATCACACTCACCGATTGAGCATAAAATGCTTAAGATGAGCATATGACACATGAACCTCCTACGGACTGGGCCATTGTTGAAATGTAAGAGGAGTCTGGGGAAGAAAATATTGTACAGTACATATTGCACTAGGCCTAAATGCTATATGTATACTCGAAAAAAGTATAGCTGTCATGACAACAAAGATAGCTTTCTGGATATTTTCTACGCAAACATAATATAGCTCTGGAAAAGTTGGGTAGGTGCATATTTTATGTAATTGCCAGGTTATAAAAAAGACCTTGGGGTCGAATTTGATAGCTTACGTTTGATAAAGATTCATATTAAACATTTCAATAAATGTTTTATTGAAATAATGTCAACAGTCCATTCCAGAGGATGTTTTGTCGAAAAATGACCATTAGATGCGTGAAAAACGCGTGCTATCGATGTTTATGGAGGGGTAGATGAAACAAAAAAATGAAAATCTTCAAATATAGCAAGAGGAAGTCTCATATTGGTTGAAGTAATTTCATTATCAGTAAGAAAACGTATATAAAAGCACATTTTTTGTCTAAATGTGCAGACAGAAACTTCGATTGACCCAAACAAATATAGCTAGTGATCCAAATCAAGTAGATTTTCGATTAGCACTTTGTGTACAGTGCTTATCCATAATAAAAATAGTCTTATTTAGAAACAAGATGAAAAGTATGAAAAGATAATAAATATAACTGATTTGAAATGCATAATTTGCCTTAGATTTCAAATAAGAAATTGTCTTCCAAGCTATGGTTTGAAGGAAAATTATATATATATATATATATATATATATATATATATATATATATATATATATATATATATATATATATATATATATATATATATATATATATATATATATAAGGTTGGAGGGCGAAGTCAAAAGGCACACGAAGAGGAATCTCATCATATTTGTCACATAAGGCAAATCTTTTTTGTCACTGGTAAATATTCCAAAATAATACTTACATTAAATGACAAAAAAATGGCATTTCAGCGCCACTGAGCATTACGCTAAGTATTGCTTACGTAATTGAAAAAATAAAGACCTTTAAACATAGAAATCACATATTTTCATTTTATTGTAAAGAGAACATGTTTATCCCGCACTGATAACAGTATCTAATCTATCCATCTTTCATAAAAAAAGCAATGTTATATAGAGCATGAATATGATCGTATTTCAAAGATTGAGATTCATATTATATTTATTCGTCCTTCGTATGACATTGACTAAACTTTACCAATCTTAACTTATCTCACACATAAACTTCATGCTGATTTATGTGGAAGAAACCAATGGTTAGATAAATCTCTATTAAATCACGAAAATGTTAGATCCTTATGATTCTTTTTCTTATTTATAAATAAAAATGAAATATACTATTAAAATCAATAATTATAAATCATCTTTGAACAGGCATTAAAATTATTAACTTTCGCTATTCTATAAGTGGCTAGTGATTTTCATAAAGTTTCTAGGAAGGGCAGAAAAAGACGAGAGTTTTGCACACCATTGATATTTTTTCACAGTTTGAGAAAGTGTTATTTTTGTATTAAAGCTAATATATAAAGGTGTATTGTAAACAGAAGGAAAAAATATACCTGGGTCAAGTTTGATGTAATAATGTTCTTTTTCTTTCAGGTTAAAATCTATTGAAATTCTCAGAATCCAGTTTCCTGAACCAGTGCTATCTAAGGAATATACAGCTAAATCACTTTGTGAAACGTCGATTTTGGAGACGAGATTGCCATTTTTAGTATAGAAATAAATAAAGGCTCTTTGGAGTGGTTGCACGACCTGAAAACATGATGTCCAATTATTTTGTATAATACATGATGTGTGAAATTGAATAGAATTATTCTGACATATAAATGAAACTCTTAATTACAAAGCGAATTATGAAATATCCGACTGGTGTCCCAATATAGTTAACTATGAATACTTGTCAAAGAAAGAATTAAACATATCATATTTAATATATTTCGAAACATTTCACTTTTGTAACTTAATCGGGTTAAATCATATAATTACTGATTCTTCTTATGTCACATGTTATTATTACCTAGCGATCACGAAAAACATTTTATAAGTACCTGTAAATCAAAGCTTATGGTGAAGTACTTCTGCGTGGGTAGTATTTCTCCAACCGGCTGATAAGAAATGATTTGAGGGGGCTCCACTATGAAAAAGTTTGGAAAAAAAGCTATAGATGTTAAAATTTCAATATGAAAGCAGATGTGGATAAAGAATTGTAGTCTTAGTGTATATGTTCAGTAATGGAAGCCTTGCCCACTCTTTATTCCATAATTTGTTGGATTAAAAACCCTTTTCCATTATGTAGATGTTCTACTAAACGCAACCATTACAAAAATTGAAATACCTCCTACAAAAAGCTTGACACAGGTTTTCTCTGACACCAAACTGGAAAAAAAAATAGAGGACACAAGGCTAGACAGAAAATGTTAAGAAGCAAAGATGCAATTATACGCAATAATGAATGAGAATAGAGCATGTGTAAATTGTCTGCATAGACAAAGAAGGTTCTCTACTAGTAACAACTAGTGGAATTTTTGTTGACCGATGTGTGAAGTGTACACTAACCTGTCCGAGTCGCTTGCAGTATAACAGAAAGTTTTTTCACCGGCTTGACTTGGTGTTGGGGTCCAGGTAACATTTACATACCATTCCCGACCTGACATGGCGTATTTCTGTAGAGTTGAGGTCGTCAGCCCAGGTGGTGATACAGTGGTTATTTCAGTGATACTATGGAGTCATAGAAAAGAAAGCACTGCTAAAACATATTATTATATACATCAAAACGTGGTGATCTCTAGTATATTTTAAAATACCATTACCCCATACATCTACATCACAATACTTTTATATCGAGAATCAATGTGGACCTTTTTGAAACACGAGGCATATAATTTTAAAATTATGAATGTGAATTAGAATAAAAATATATACATCTGTGCCCAGTATTACATCCAAAAATACTGTATGTGTACGAAAAAGCGAGCTTCAATTTTTAGCGACTTTAGCGTTAAATCCTTCTTTATTCAATACATGATAGAGAGATACGAGCATATGTATATTTAATTCATGATTACGCCAACAACTCCATACATGGAGACTGTGCTAAATTTTGAATACGCTAAATTATGTACATGTCCAGTGCTTTTCTGTGAAACTGAAATTTTTTTTTAAATTACCTGATGAACGTAAGCTAAAATGTTCAAGTAATTATAAACAAAAGGTACTTTTATAGATAAGAAATCTCACTTTACTCCATCCGCCCCGCTCCGAGCTATGATTTGTTCTGTCCAAGTAGAATTGATTGGAATACCGACACATGCGCCATCTAGTCGTGTTGGCATAATAAACTTTGGTTTGTCTTGGCAAGGTTTATCAGAAGAGAAAACGTTCACCAGGAATTGAAGAGAAACACTACTAAGCGCATGCGTAGAGTTTAGTGGACTGAAGTCCTCAATTTGAATGGCAACAGCGTACCATCCAGTCCTGTACTTGGCAATGTATGAAATTTCGCATCGTTTCTGAAAATAAAAATATTCATTTAACTTTTCTAGCTCACCATAGATAACGGTGTATGTTGTTACAAAAAACACCCATCTCTCACCTCAGTCACCTCACCTTTTAGAAATAATTATTTAGATAAACGTGCTGTTGTTATGTTGCTCTTAATTAGCGGACATTAAAAAAAATTAAGATGTCTGCTTAAATTCGTAGTACTTCATAAAAAAAATCACTACCCACCACCCTGATCTTGCCCTACCCCAGTGGCTATGATTTAGATAAGCTGAGTTTTCAAGGCAGTGGAATGCTTATATATCAAAATGTCTCAATGTATCTCTTTCATTCTTGAGAAAATATGTTTTAAAGTTTATCTTTCCATTCTTGCGTCGACACGATTTATCCCGTTGAACTTGAAGACTTTTAACTTTTCAGTCTCTAGCTTCCCTTACTTATGCAGCAATATACGTCCCTCACCTGCATATGAGGTTTATATCTCTCAGTTGATTCAATACACAAGAACATGATCTAGCTAATGTACAATTTCTAAAACGAGGTTTAAAAAATAAATTAATGAAACAGGAAAATATACAGTCTCGTTTAAAGTCATCATTTCGTAAGTTCTTTGGTCGATACAATGAGCTTGTCAGAAAATAAAATTTATCATCGAATCAAATGCTGACTAACAATTTTCCATACTAATTTTAAGACCATTATTTACACACTGAATTGTCGACGGAATTTTCGGTTATTTCCTGTTCATTACAAATAATACACCATTGCTGTGTCCGGTCGTCAGGGGGTGCTCACTCTTCTATTGCTCCTGATCCCACCTCTGAAGTTTTGAGGTTCGTGTTTGCTCTGATCCTATTTGTACTGTTAAATGGACTTTTGTGCTTGAATACGGTTATTTTCTCCATTTATTTCATACATTGAAATGCATAATTATACCTCCCCCCGCTTGAAAAGAGGGAAGGTATATAGTAATCGGGATATCCGTCCGTCTGTCTATCTGTCCGTCCGTCTGTTACGCTTTGGGGTACTGTGGTACCCATCTATTATCCGCAATCCCTTTTATACCACTGAATGAAATTTGATGAGACTTTCACAGAATTTTTATCATATTGCTATTGTGCACCTCCTATTTTACTTTTCGATCCACACAATACGAATCGTCAATAGAGCAAGACACGGTCCTTTAAAACCCTGGCACCAGAGTTGGGATAAAGGGTCGTAGAAGAATTTAAGCGCCCTCGTCAATGGATCACACCTGTGTTAAGCCTTTAATAATTATCAAGTAAACAGAATAATCTAGAGTCAAATAATAAAACCATAATGGCTAAAAAGGAAACCATAAATACTTGTCTTTCAAAAAAGGACTAAATTTTATGTTGTATTACAAACGGATGTACGTAGACCGCATTACAATTGTAAAATATATTTCGTAATTCAGACTTACAAATATAAAAATTGTCCAGTGATACCAGAAAGTATCATACCTAAGTCATATCATATTCAAGTTCATACTTCAAATTCAAACACCTTTAACTGGTATTCTTACCTCATCAAGAAAGGAATTTGGAAAAGAACGACAGACTCCTGCACATTCACTCTTTGAGGATTCTGCCCATCTACATCGAACCGTGTCATTATCTTTGTCATAAACTAAAATTTGTTTGAGAAATATTCAGAGATTTTTATAGTTACGGCTAGTAATTTTGAACAAAAAACTGGAATATACATATACATCAGAATCCTTCAAAGGTTTGCTGTTTAGTTAATTTCATTATATTTTCACATGTTTGTGAGAACATACAATATGCACACAAATGTGAAAGAAGGTCTGGTCATCATTTAATACACATTTTTTACGCAAAAAGAAAACAAACAACAAAAAACAGTACCTGGTATAGTTATGTTGTGCTCACATCCTTGCTGTAGACGTATGATTGGAGGCATAGCAGAGACGGGGGATGAATTAATTTTACCGGTGTCTCGTCGCCGGTTTAGGTCAACAGTTGTGCGCATTTGCCAGCTTCCACCCCCAGATACAAGCGATATCCAATCTCCTCCCTCGAATCTAATAAGTTTTATATCTAAATGTAACTTGTGTTGTATTGTAATACATTATGGCTGAAAATCTTTGGATGAATAAAAGTATTTTTTAAGATCTTTCAATATTTGCTATTCATAGATTTCATACACACCCAATTTCAGCCGATTTTTTCTGGAAAGTATATGTAAAGCTTCGCTCTCCCTGCATCCAATCTTCCAGTAAACTAAAATCCGTGCAAACAATTCCGACATCTGAGATCGTTGTAGGAGAACAATTGTAGCACACCACATTTCCAAGATTAGCTATGATACCACCGTCTTCAACAGTTGTCCTATCACATCTTGTTCGACTGTTGTACGTACGTCTCCATGCCATCCGGAATGTAATTATGACCTAGAGCATAGATTTTATGAAAAGCATTCTACCGAACGACAATATTTTAAAAAAAATAATATCTGTTCGATATAAAACTGTTCGAAATAATGTGACAAAAAATTCAGTTTGTACAGTTTGTACTGGTCATATTTGACGAATAAACCTTTATTTTGAAAGTTTCAACATTTAATTAGGAAAGACTGGGATTTAATCATAAAAGGAGCTATCCAACTTAAACATATAGCTTCCTTTCTAAGGGGAAAAATTTTCAAAATCATATGTCAGTTTTGAAAATGTTTAATATTCCCAACAATGAAAATGACTTAAAATTAACATACCTATATCCATATATGGATGTCTTACTATAAAAGATGATAATAATAACCTAACAACAAAAGCTTTATTATAAGACGAACTTTTTCAATCATTAGCTTCCCTTTATTTTTCAGCAATATATATTCTTATCACCTGTATATTGAAATGGTATTACTACTAAAAGGTGTTAATTCTTATGCTAAAATTGGCTCAATTTTTCTCTGGACTTTCAAAATATATTAACTATATTGATCACAATATAATGAAAAAATTCATATGAAATAATGAAATAGATTTTTCAGAACCAGCATAAAAGATTTTACCCCCAAAATCAGCTCTGAGTGCAACCAGAATGGAATAATAAGAATCTTAACTAATGGTACTGTATATATTTTAAAAAGGAAAAACTGAACATTTTCTTCTAAAAAATCTTCCGACACAAAATATAGTTCAGGGCTTAATCCTATTTGAATAGAATTTTATCGTGGTTTTCTTCATTTGATATAGTTCAATTTGCATTATTGAACTCATATTCAATGTTAGAACTTAAAAAATGACATAGAATTTCAGTTTAAGAAATAAAAGCCTTGACCAAAATCTGCTCAAAAGCTCAGGATGGAACCTACTTAAACGAAAAGAAAGTTAAGCAGCGATACTATCCACCATTATCTAGTTAAATATTTAAGGAAGAAAGCATATTTTTACCTATGTTATGCATTGAGACATTTTAAAAAGCGTAACAGCCCCAAGTTATGTTATACCGTATATCCTAGGTTAAATAACTTCATTCCTTATAACTTAATTTCAGTGTAGTCAATATGACAATTTTTCCTCCAAAATGGCTTCACATTGAGCGAGATTTAAAATATTAACGTCAGGTACATAGCAACAGAGGGCAGGGGGCCTCCCTGTTTTTTTCCAAACATAGCTTCTACTGTTGAAAACGTTTATTGAAAGGCCGGATGGTACTCCCTTTTTTGTTACAGTAAAATGAAATAAGGGCAATATATTATTGTATGAATAAAAGTTGGTACTGAAAATTTCCTTAATCTATATAAATAATCATTTAAAATAGGACTAAAAGGATTAATTTATTATTGTATTATTGATATGTACGTCATAGTACGTTTCATTGATGGAAAAGCAACTAATCAAGAAATCTGCACCGGTGATATACCTACTGTTGTTTATAAACTGATAAACGGCAACGGTCTTCTTATTAGAAGGAAATAAAAGGAGAAAATATTTAGTGGATGTATATATGAAAAGGTCAGACCAGGAAATAATAGTCATAAGCATAATTTCACCTCTGAAGGAAACTAAAAATCAAGATTTGTTTGTGAAGCACTGATACTTCCGTATGGCAGCATGCTGCCAAGGCTGAAGTTTCTGATATACGAGTCAGACTCCAAGGTCATGATCAAAAGGCCAAAATACTATGTATCCAGAGAGATGCCTTGTCATAAGAAGAAAACTTGTGAAATATTAAAGCTCAAGTACAAACTGTTTTAAAGTTATAGCCAAGATTTAAAAGTTGGTCAAAATCTAAGTTTACGCTCAAGGTCAAAAGGTCAAATTTGGTAGAACTCAAAAAAGATCTTGTCACAATAAATACACAAACGAAGTGAGAAAGCCCTAGCACTAACTAATAAAAAGTTATGGTCAAGATTAATGTTTGGTTTGTTTGTAAAACTAGGTCAAACTCAAAGGTCAAGGCCAATAGGTCAAATTTGGTGCTACCCAAAGAAAGGCCTTGTCACAAGAAATACACTTGTGAAATATGAAAGCCATAGCTCTACCCACTCAAAAGTTATGGACAAGAATAAGTCTTTTGTGGAAAGACAGACAAACAGATACACCTGTCAGACGAACAGCTAGACAGACGGACAGGACAGGACAAAACTTAATAGATATATCACCTAATCTTCGATTACGGGGGCATAAAAATCATAAAGTGTATAGGTTCCACCGTTCGTGTTGGTTACATTATGTCAACAGAAGTGACATAGCCTTACTGAAATATTTCCTATTTAAATTATCATTTCTGCGGAGGATATTGTTTTCAAATTAGTTGTGTCCTGCATAAACAACAGTTTATCTTGAACCGCTCTGTAAACGTGTGTCATGTAATGAGCATTTACGCATTATTTTAATGCTGTATAACTACATTCATTTAGAGTACTTTTGCTCGCTCATCAAACAAGAATTTACTATTAATTCGTGTAACTGTTGTTTACAAACGCTACTTCATCCATAACCTTCACTAGCTTTATGTGTCCTTGAGTGCAATCTTGGCATATTTCAATGGATATCGTATGACAGAAAATTCCAATTCAGATATTCGCTTTTATTTCTCTGTTTATTTATGTTCTCGATAAACACTGAAAGGACTGAACATTTTCTCTTTTTTAATATTTCTTTTCGTGATTTTTTTTTGATCGAATTATGCGATGCTCGTGCAAAAATGCTGCACATCTTAATACTTTTCCGCATCTTGTTTAAATGTAATACACTTTACATGTAGACCGTATAAAGGAATGTAACCTTGTACTCACTTCATTCTCATTGTTTGTCGGTTTCCACATTAAAATTCCTCCACGGAAATGTGATCCTTCTGCCTTTTGCTGTAAGATCCAAATTATAAGAAGGAGATGAAACCAAGAAACCATCGTCCTTTTATTTTTCAAAAAGATCTTCTACATCATGTACTTTCGTTTCAATATTTCTCTATTTTCAACGCGATTCTTTTATTTACAAGGAGCTGACAGAGGAAATCAAAAACACCTCTGATGTCTGGGTTTCGGTTTCGGTAGTATGATTCGCGGGTTTAAACAGGTGTACCCATAGCGATTAAACAACTTTCAGGTATTTTTAAAAGGTCGACTGGGGAAAGGAATCGAAATTACACGCTGACCAGAAAAAGTACCTTCTCGTCGTCCTAAGGAATTCCACCTCTACGATGCAATGTATTTTATTAACCCACATTTTTTTTAACATTTAATTTTCTAGAAATAATATAATTGTAAAATTTAACAGCTTTTGATTAAAGAAATACATCTAATTTTTATTTTAATTTGTTAAGTATTTTTAATTTCAGTTTCAAATTTTAATTGGTTTTCAATAAATCATACACAATTCAAACATTAATCCAGAGAGAATGAATGTCCACTTTTCATATCATGCGTTTATTTATCAGTGTAGGATTCCATTATAGAGGTTTTGTTTCTAAAACAAAACAAATCAATATCTAATATTACCATTAACTTCTTGAAAGTCCTTATACAACAAACAGATCAAAACTAGCTTTAAATTTAATCTAAGTCTATTTATTTAGGGCTGAGGCAAAGTAAAGCCAGTAACTAACCTTGAAATTTATGTATTTTCTCTAAGGAGGAAGAATTTCAAAAAAAGAAAGTTGATTTTTTCGGAGCATTCATATTACTGCAAAATCTTTTTAAAAAGACTTTCAATCAAAATAGTTCAAAGAATTTTGACACAAAATACTGTGAAAGAGAGAACCAAATTGCAAGGAAAAATTCAACCGCCTTCAAAAATTTGCTCTACACTCTGCAAGGTAATTATTCTTTCAGTTGAAAATTGTTGAATGTTTTAAATGATTTACAATTTAAAAAGTGCTTCTCGACATATGCATTTTTCATACATACACCCATATGTAGAGTGATGCTAGCTTTACTATTCCTCAAATGCATGCATAAAAAAGTTTTATCTTAAAATCATTGCTTTACAATTTGAATATACATGTCAGACAAACTTTGATTCGATGCTAATTTATATTTTATTATAATTTAATTTCAGTTGTAACACGTCATTTGATTGGTTAAACGGTTTTACCCATTTTGTATAACATAACTTGCCTACGTCACAACGAATTACGTCAAAAAACGTACATGTATTACTCCGCTTGACGTTAATTTTAAAATATACTATATTTGAAGCGTTTTCCCGAAGGAAAAAAATGGAATATTGTCTAATTGTGTACATTGAAATTAAATTATAAGGAATGAAGCTTATTTCAACTTATATTATACAATATAACATAACTTGGGGCAGTTTACGCTTTCGCGGTTTATAAAGCGTACACTGCCCCAAGTTATGTTATATCGTATCACAAAGGTTGAAATTAGCTTCATTCCTTAAATAAATTCCGTAGAATTTGCAAAATGCTAACTTTAATTAACATGCATGTGTAATCCTTTTTAACAGGCTTTTGTAAGAAATAATATTAGCTTGCTATTGCTTATAGAATCAGTAGGAAAACCATACTTAAAGTTAGGTGTTAATTAGTAATGTAAGGAAATTACCGATGGAAAACCCAATAGATCCAAAAGTATATAATTGATAAACAGATAGAAGCATTACTTGATAACAATTACTTCAAAAAAGAATATTTATCGAGAAAAAATATTTTAAACAATTACCTATACTTTTATAAAAAAAACCTTAGTACATCCGAACTTTAAGTAAATTTATCACGGCAGAAACAAAATATGTTTATCAATGAAGGGCAAGTAGGACTTCGATAGCCCCTGGAAAGTTGTTTTCCTTGTTTACTTTGCCCAAATGTTAAGACTTAAAACCAAAAGTACAATGCAAATGGCGGATTTTATAGGTTACATGTATCTTGCTTTCAATGACAGCCTTTCAGAGACCATTCATGTCCGACTGCCCTGATTGATAAACATATATTTCTACAATAAAATATTTATCACTTAAAGTACAGCATTCAACAGGTGCAACATATACAGTAATTCTAAAATATTTTTTCTCAAAAAATATATTTTTGAAATATTTTTTTCAATTAATACTTTCTATCATATATTTATTCACTGTTTTAACTTTATACTTCACATAGTTTTGGAGGTATTGTAAAAATACATTTTTGGATATGCTGACCTTTGGAGAAACCACAACGCTGTTGATTGATCGTCCACTCGACAGTTATGTAACTTGTATAGGTGTGTCTTTATTTGTTATATTTATCACACAAACAGATAAAAATATTCCAAAACCTACGTGCTGTTTAACGTTATATTTAATTTTTCTGAACCTAACTTCACTTTTTTATTTTCTTTGTAATCTGTAATTGTAGCCTTTCTGAAAACTATTTTTTACATTCAGTACATACAATCATCATCATATATATCAGAGACCAACCTTGTCTCTGAGGACAGATTTAAGATCCAATTTTCATAATATTTTTATATGATTTATATAAGCGATGTCCACACCTGTAAAGATTGTAATCTTAGCACAATTATTTTGAAAGACACTAGCTACAAGGATATTCATATGCCCAGTAACTTAAATATTTTCACGTCTTTGCTAGTCTGAATAGTTTGCGTGTGCTTGATATTGATTGCGTGTTCCATATGTCGGGCGAGCGTTCAATTCAGGCATTACATATAATATAATCATGGGAGGAGTTTATTTTTGATTCATTCATTTAATTGACTATTGACTGTGATTCCTTTCTAAGTCAGTAAAATCATATTAGGAGAAATTAGCCATTAAGAAGGGACGAATGCCATTTTTCATGACAAAGATTTCTCTTAATAAGATCTTACTATTAATTAGAACATAACCTACTTATTCAGCCAATCACATGCTCCCATTTCAAGCGAAGAATTGATTCTTCATTTTTTTTTATATTTTCTGAAATATTTAACAGTGTTTGATTGGTTCATTTAATTGTCCAGGACAGTTATATGGGCATGACTCTTTATAAATTGGTTTTATTTCTCACATGAAAGAAAAAAAATATTCCAAAACTCACGTGCTGTTTTATAACCATATTTAGATTTGACTAGGCCTTCACCTTCTTCATGTCCACTTTAATCTTTTGTAGCCTTTCTGAATTCTGTTTTTATTTTTCACATTTTGGTAAACACAGAAAATACAATCATCATTATGTATATCAGAGACCAACTTTGTCTATGAAGACAGAAATATAACACTAGAGCGATGTCGAATAGTAGCGACTTAAGGCCTTTGTTATCTTTACACAATTATTTTAAAGAAAAATAAATCAAATATTAAGGTTTTGCCAAAGGTCAACATGTTTATATTTACAATAGCTCAAAAACTATGTGGTTTATAAAGGAAATTTTTTAACATTTAAGAAATACATCATTGATTAATAGATTGAAAGTATCACTTAATTTATTAAATAAGGTATCATTTTTTGAGTTTTATTGGGATACAAAACTGGTTGGTCACGTGATCAAATCCCATAAATATATATATATATATTTTTGAATTTGACCTTTTATTGTAGACTGACTGTTAAGAGTTAGTGTTTCTAAGGGCGGGGGAGCAAAGTTAGTTTTATATGGTTATTTTAGTATTCTTAAATTTTAGTGAAATTGAAAAACTTATCAGGTCTTCCCCTGGCCTATTTCCGCTTTTCTTGATCTGTCTATGATATAATGCCAAATTTTAATTAAACTTTAATCTTCATAGATTCTGTTTCAGATTCTTAGTTTAAAGTTCTGATGTCTGAGGATAGTGTGAAAATAGGTGAAATAATACAAAAGTTGCATTTTAATCTCTTTATCATAGATTTATAAAAGAAAAATAAAAAGTGTATATGGCGAGGACAATCACCCGCTCTATGACGGAAAAGTTTGACTTTTCTAAAATTATGTCGGTAATGTCATCTTCAACATATTTTATTCATATACTAGTATTGTACTGAAAGACATATTGATTGAAAATTACCTTTTAAAGGTTATTTTGTGGAAAATGGGTACGTTTATATCAATGATTCCAGTTATAAGAATTTATTTTTTGAATATGAATGGATCAGGTTTCTATTCAAAGTCTTGTGTTTAAATTACGGAAAAGTAACTGCATTGTGTGTTTTTTTTTCTAAATGGAGTCTGAACCCATTCTATTTAATATTTAAATGTCAAATATTTCTGGAATTTTGAAAAAGTGAGGATTATGAACATTGTTTTATGTCGAAAATTTACAACCAAAATGTGAGTATCGCATAAATACGGACCCCCCCCCCTCCCCGGAATACCAGAGATTGGAACAGGTGCCTAGGAGGAGTAAGCATCCCTTGTTGATCGGTCACATCCGCTGTGAGCCCTACGTATTGATCAAGTAAACGGAGCATTTCGTAATCAAATTTAGTATAAAAACGAAGTCTTACATTTGGTTGAAAGAAGTAGGCCAAAAAACGACCCAAGATAAATTAAATAATAGGTTGAAAAATATCATTTGTCTCAACAAATTCGTTTATTTAAAGCAAACTGACACACAACCATCAAGAAGACACCGTAGCATATAGTGGTTAACGAATTAAGTCTTACGCCTATCATGAGCTTTGGAGAGAGTTCTAAAAGTTTGTGAAGCCTTTTTTTTCCTTCTTACATACCTTTAAAACATAAGTGAAAATATAAAACGTGTATTTATCAAGTAATGACATAAAGTTGAGAAAGTGTCTTTGGATTATACTCCCCTATGTACGCCTCCATTCTTCAAGAAGTACATGTATTCTAGGCAAATCAAACATAGCATTTCTGTATCAGTTTCGACAAAACGCAAATCAAGTATCGCACAAACACCAGCAATGACAGCACATTTCATTAAATTCTATAATTATTTATTTCTGTTTAATATTCGACTGATAAATGTTTCTCTAGTGATTATGAATGCCAATATTTTTTCAAAACTGTTAAAATCGCGATAATTTTATCAAAAAACAATAAATCTTGATTTCATGCAAATCACAAAAAGGACCAGAAAAAAGTGTAGCCATCGCAAAAA